AAATTCAAGAGTTTGAAGTGCGTGGATTCTATCTGTGATGACACATGTAACGCTCAAGACCACTTTAAGCCCACTGCACTTACACAGAAAATTGGATAAGATGTTGAAGTAAAAAAGAAAAAGAAAAAGAAAAAAAAAAGTGCCCATATCTCTCTGTTTGAGACATTTTCTGATATCCACTCATCTCCTCAAAACAGCCAACACAGAAATCCTACCTTTCCAGAGTAAAAATGGATCAGGTCTCTCCTGACCCTTTCTGCCTTTTGTGAAATTTCTGAGAGTCTCTCATCAGCACCCATTCAAAGTGCGTTGTGTTTGGCCCTTTTTAGTGCCAATGAGCTCGTTTATGGACACAATATCATGGTTTATGAAGTGATTATAAATCGGTTTGGATGGGTCATTGTCTTTATGAACTGATTTACCACTTGGCTTTAGTGTTTGGATGATAATTCGGGCACTGAAATGGACACAGCGGCTGCATGGGTTGTCACAATACAAACAACAAAACAACATACAGCAAAAAAAACATACAAACAAAAATCCCCACCATGTTTTGTCCAGTCCAGTCCGAAATCAGACCACCATACAAATTCATCTCTCCTGGTATAATGGTTCCAGGTTATGTATTTCTATATGGATTTGTATAGGGCCCGACAACAGGAAGGGGAATTAGCATTCATTACCTGAATGCTGAAGGAGCATGTGCTACGATGCACCAAACTGTTACACCACCACACCACTAAGGGACCATCTAATATCAAGGTTCATCAAATACAGTCACTTCACGATGAGGCAGCACTGACAGGTAGCAGACGAGCAGCTACATGAAGTAAATTTATAGTTTGACACCATTTGTGTTATTGTAATTGCACATATTCGAATCTATACACTGAGGTCCATCACTCTTAGTTACTGGACCTGTCAAGCTTTCCGTTGTCACAATGCAAACTGTGGCAGACTTACTAATTAAATTCTTTGTCCTTGATTTTAAACAGATACGCAAAAGTCAGATTTTCATTTCTACCTGACAACTGTGGAGTTTGCTCCCTGAGAAGACAGCTGAGGGTTATAAGCTATAGGTAGTTTACAAATTAAACAAGTGGTATTTATTGTGTTTACATTCCCACCAGTATCCCAGTTAGATATGACGCATCTCCTGGTTTTGATTACACTCAGGATATGACGTTAACATGGAGTAATCTGGTTATTCAAATCCCTGTATACATGAAAAATACTAGTGTCACGGTCACTGATAACTGTTGGCGTCTGTGAAGCTTACAACACACAAAAAAAAAACATTTAATCTGGCATTCCTGTAACTCTGAGTCTAACCTCAAATTAATTTGACAGTGGCTATTGAAAATGAGGTCACTTTGGCTTATAGCTGGCTGCGCACAATTAAACGCCAACACCGTGCTGCAGATTTGGCTTATCCTCCCATTTTCCAGCAATGAGAGATGACACTGACAGAAAGTATTAAACAAGTCCTCCACTCTGACCAGTGTCAGGCTGTTGTTTACAATTACTGAGGGATTATCACTTGGTTTGAGTTTCTGTTTGTGCCTGCTCAGGTATTTGGCAGCAGTCAGAAACGAGGAGAACATGTGTACATACGACAGTGTCCCAGTTTCTTTAGGTACACTCCAGCTAGCATATTTGTGTTTGTCAAAATCAGGATATGAGCTTCTTAAAGCCAGGATAAGAGCTTATCAAAACCAGGATATGAGCTTCTTAAAGCCAGGATAAGAGCTTATCAAAACCAGGATAAGACCTCATCCAGGTTTTTGAAATCAGAAACCCAATCATAACCAGAATGCTCAAGTCATTGTTAGTTTTGTAAGCCATTTTAAACTATTGTCTTGGACAAAAACTCATTTTTAAACCTTTATATAGGGGTCTTTAATGTGCACTTGATGGGAACATATATTACATTATGCTAAAAATTCAAAGACTAAAGCTGCATGTTCCAGGAAAAAGTCAGTATTTTTGTCTTCCATGTAGTGTAGTTATTCCTAGTATTCTAAATATGGTAAAGATAAATGCAAGATTTCTCACTTTGCACTGGAAACCTTTCGGGTGCTTTACATACTTCCATACTGGCTAGGGCTATAGTTCCAGTTTTTGTTTGTATTTAAATGAAAAACCTTTTTATTTTTTAGGATGAGGGTTAAGAGATGTGCAAACTTTACTCTGTCTTGGGTAACACTGGTTGCGGATGCTGGAGTGCACAACTGCATGTAAACACCACATGTCAAACATGTGAACAGACCCAAAGCTTGACAGGCCAAGTTGCATTTTCTAAATTATGATTGAACACACGTTTGCAGCATGAAAACACACCAACAGAACAAACGGTGGCAAACTATGATAGATATACTGTCACATGTAGCGCATCGGTTCAAGCCTACTTTAGCGTGAGTTAGCGGGGGCTCTACGGCACGAGATTTATGTTGGGTTTAGTATGTCTTACGTTGACTTTCTTTGTAAACAAGGGACGTTCTGCGCACTAGCGACGGCTCTGTGTTGTGCCTCGGTGGTGGGGGAGGGGGCACCTGTGGTAGGCGAACACCAGCCGGCGTGGTTAGTAGGGTTACAGGGTGTTTAGGGTTCCTGGTTAAGATTCTGTTTAGGCACTTTTAAGGAGAGACAGGCCTGCAAAAGTCAGGGGTTAATGAGTTTCTGAGGTATGATAGAGTAAATGGGAGTGAGGCTTTTCCTTCTACAGGTGAGACACTCAGCAACGCCTGTCCTTAAGCGACTAAGTGTGCGAGGTTCAACTCCCGCAGTACTTTGGGTGTCCATCCGTGAGAAGACATCCTAATAAAATGCAGTTATGTTTGCTATTAAATCACTCACTCATGTAGTATATGTGGCGATCACTGTCAGCGTCTGTCATATGGCTTGGAAAGGAGGTTGTTAAAGTTATTATGAAATGATTATATCGTTAGTCATGCAGTAATTGTCTCTTAAACACAGTTTATGTGCTTCAAAAACAGGCAACGCAACAGAGTGATCTCAAACATAAGACAAATACGCACACAAACAAAACAGAAAAAAAAAAAAAGTGGACACACTCGTGCACAACCACAAACAAGAGGCACTTGAATATGAAAGTGTATGAACATGCACACCCACCTACACACACACACACAAACACACCCTTCTCATCTCCATAATTACTGTATAGTCAGCATGTCCGTGTCTGGGGGTGACTCTCAAAGTGAGATGTTGACAACAGCAGCACTGAACTCAAGCTGGGGCCCGTCAAAAGGCCTGACACTGATAGCATTATCCATGTAATTATTCACAGTTAAGTGAACTGCCTACTTACTTTTACCATAATGGATTCGGATGAGTAAGCCGTATCTGCGCTGCCCTTTCATTTCATAACTTAAGTGACGTCACTAACCTGGAGGAAATACGCGCTCCAATTTGTCTTAATTAGTTTAAATACAACCTATCTATTATTTGTGGCTGGTCTTTCATTTCTTTCTTCTTTTTCTTTTTTTTACATTTGGGCCTAATCTCAAAGCACACCTGAGCTCCCCTCTGAAACACATTAGCATGCTGCAGCGCAACTATTAGGAAGCACAGCCTTTCTAATATATGGCTCACGGCTTCGCGAGCAGCCTGCCATTTTTCTTCTCTTCCATAAAATATTTGCTTGCCGTGTGGACGAACTGGGGGGGGGAGCCGGCCAGCGCTTCTGAAAATCTTGATCAAGACGCCGAGCAAATGAGGGACGAAGGAAAAGGCCGTGGGTCTGGCACGGGGAAATGGCAGCGCGGGATGTGCGCGGCTACATGGCGAATGGGGGGTGATATGAGAGATGTCAGACTAGCCTCTGTTCCTCTGCTGGCGGTGTAAATTAGATGTGAACCAGCATGCCGCCGATGCCAGGGGAAAGTACACCCATCAGGGGTAGGTTAACTCATCATGGCTCCACGCACTAAAGCTCAGCAGACGAGCGGAGTGTGTGTGTGTGTGTGTTTAAATCTTAATGAAAGTGGCCCTCTGAAGGTCAGCGCAGAGCGAGCGGGGACTCTTTCGCCTGCCGCTAATGGCGTATTAATGATTCAAAGATGCTGCCTGCGTCTCGGCACAGGTACCCACCCAAGCACCCCACAGACACGCACACCTTCACCACCTACACATGAAAGAAAGTCACGTAAAGCACATAGAAAATGATACAGACACATCAGCTAGTTTGACACACGTGTAGACAAAACACACATATGCATGTTTTTTTGTTTTTTTTTTAAAAACAATTCATTACGGGAAGGTGGACAAATTGTTTCCCAGCTCTTAAATTGCAGAATTTAGATTTCATTAACCTGCTATGATTGATTATCCCGCAGCTAGCAGCTCATGTGATCAACTTTTTTTTTTGATAGGCATTTAATAAGGCACCAACCACGAGTGAAAACGAATGAAGCTCAGGCCAATTACATCAGGTATGAAAGTAATTTACAGTATGAAAGATGGAACACCATGTGCCTCGAAATAAATATCTATGAGGTAGTTATTTTTGCGATTCTTCCTGGTGGCGATAATAAGCCCAACAGTGAATGAATCTAATAGCGATGAAAACTATAGAAGGAATTCATATTACATTCAAATTCCCTTGTTAGAGCAAACAATGTTTTCACATTTCTAAGGCAGCAATTTGGCTGGAAAGAAAGAGCATAATGAATACAACTGCTTTCAAAAGTACCTCATGTTTGTAAATGACAGGGTGCTTTGCTGTGAATTTTTATGGCTATAATTGTCTGAAAGTTGCATTTACAAGTAAATACAATGCCACCACAGTGCTGATAATATTAAGTCAGTGCTGACTGCTTTCTATGAAGCATATTAATGCAACTTTGATCACCGTGTGCTTTCCCAGTGGCAATTCTTCAGTGTTGCAAAGGGGGGTGGGGTTTGTGACAAAGTGCGGGAGGGAGTAGAGGTGCATTGGTACAGCGGGTTCCCATCCCGCTTCTGGGCAATGATCTTACCTTGAATGTGGACATGGCTGGGTCCCTGCTATACCTGTCTATGGTGTGGAACTTGGACGAGTGGTTGAGCTCATGGTACAGCTCAGAATGTCTTTTGCGAGTGTGCATCACTTTCTGGAAGGGAAGAAAGGAAGGGACAGCAAAAATGAAGCAAATAGAAACAAACAAAAAAGGGAAAAGAAAAGCAAAAGGAATGGAGGGAGGGAGGGAGAGAGGGAAGCAAGGTAGGGGCAGGCAGGGGAATGGGTAAAAGGCTTGAGGGACTGCAGTGATGCCAGCCATGAAAAGGGGTTAGAGAGGGACGCCGACAGATCGATCGATTGCTGGCTCATGCTCATCCATCATCCACTTCCTCAGTCTTTAAGAATTTGGCAACTGGGAGTGCTACAGAGCAGTCCTTTAAATGAAAATTTGGTGAAAATGACTGACAAAGATGCCACTGTTGCAGACTGGTGCCTGCAAACCGGTGGTCCTGTAGAGTCAGGGTTTTGTCAAAGTCATTACACGTCAAACAGTCGGACTGGAATTTAACTCTTGCCCTAGTGCAGGGAAATTTTGACAAAAAAAAAAAACGGCCTTGCTTGTGTTCTGAATATGCCTGTCTCCAAGGCGGCTAAATCCAGATCTGTAATTCTCTGACAGCGAACTGCATTTGTCAGTGCCACTGCTGTCTCTCTGTGCTAATGGGCAGTGCTGGAGCTGCTCGGCAGTAGCTAATCGTCAAAGCAGCTTGTGAGGTTGAAAGTGACACAGGGGCGAGATGCCAGCACTCACACCCGCACACTTACTGGCCAGAACTGGCGCTTAGCACTGGCTCCAATTACTTCAGAGTGGGCACTCTTATCTCTGCTCAGCTAGGAAGGTGCTACCATCTCCTTGCTATATGTTTTTTTTTTTTTTTCATTTTTGCAGTTTTAGATTTTCAAGTACTTCAATTGTAACCCAGAATGAACTATGACCTTGAGTCATAACACTCAACGACAAAGCAAACACTGTTGGGTTGTACTATGGAAACCAGCACTTTGGGTACTTTATCCATTTGAAGATTTCTCTTCTGCTGCAGAGACTTTGATTATTCTTTTTTTAAAAAATGTATTTCCTGTACCCCAGCTTTAAGTGCATTACTAAATCCCTAGAGTACTCTTGTGAATTTTAACAAAGGTATTGCATCCCCTAAATGACTCTAACCCGTTTAAAGTATATTACCAAAGAGCTTTAGACAGTTTGAATGGGTGGGCAAACTCAATGGAAACAAAAAAAATGAAAGCAAAAGAAACATGGCTGAAAATGGATTTACCTTCAACTAACTCATAGAAGCGCACTCTTTCTTGTTTAAGGTTCTTCTATGTCAAGCTCTTTCTCAAAAGTCAATAGTCAATTGATGAGAAAAGAGTTGATTTCAAGGAGAGCCAGTCCCCTCGTTCATGCAGCGGCCACACACGACTCTCCGGAGAATTTTGCCAGATAAGTAAAATGATCAGCCAAAATCACTGTTAGTAGCTTGTCATCACTCATACCCTCGACATAAATGATATGCCTCCGCGGTGTGGAGGTGAATGTCCAGTCTTTACAGCAATCAAAATGAAGTGGAGGGAAGAGAAAAAAAAAAGCAGCATATATAAAGGAAAGTATAGCATTCTACGGTCAAGGAATATTTGCTAGAGACTGGAGATTCACAGGACACAAACATACTCACGCACACTGCCAAACCATCTTGTTCCAACAGATATAACCAGCAAGTCAACTGCGGCCACAAACTGCACGTGTCGACCCAGAACTGAATTACTAGTATTCATCCAGACACAAGAAGCACTCTACTTTGCTGTTTCTTCAACCAGGACCCACAGTGAGTTTAGAGTCTGATTTAATCGTACGTGTTTGTTGGGATTTTTTTTTTTGTTTCCGTGCTGCGATGATTAATTTACACATCAGCTGGCAGACAGTAGGTAGGGGGCAGCTTTGAGGCCATTGTTGGAGAAACAGCATACTATGTAAGACAGGTCTGAAACGGTTCATTGTTCTAAGTGCAGGGCGGGGGGGGGAGACACAAGTGCGAGGGGGAGGGTTTAGCGATGCTTTTTTGCTCCTCTATGCGTTACTCTAGTCCTGGCAGAAGCACAAGAAAGCAGAGACAGGCTGATGACAGGGGATGAGGTCCGAGATCTTACCTCGAAGTCCAGCTCAGAGTACCGTACTCTTTTCCTCTGGAAGAGGAGGGGGCAGGGGGGAGAGAAGAAAGCATCAATGACCACCCCTCCACCACTACTGAACCTTTCCCGATCTCTCTTTGGGTGATCTCTCAGTGCCGTTGTTCAGTAACGAGGGGAAAAAAAGGGCTTAATGTGCACTGGCTGCCCAACAAGATATAGATATTCTCACAAATGTCACGGCAAAAAGCAAATTTTTCAGTCTGTTTCAACATAATGAGATTAGTGAAGTGGAATAACCCAAAATTACAACGAAATAATAATTTCTCGGCTCACATATTCTCAAATACAATCGTTACAACCTCGACATAAATCACCCCCCTTTGCTATTTTGGGAGAGTTTGTGGCAGACATTCCGATTAAAGGAGCTGCAAAAAAAACATATGAGAAATGGTTTTCATCATCTAATCTTGTTTGGCCCCTACTGCTCTCGTCTTAAGTGCCTCTGTAGCTATAGCAAGTGGCACACAAGCTGCCAATTTAACAGCTGCAGACATTTCCAACTCATCTGGCCCTGACATTGCATTGAATTACGTTCCATCTCTGACTTCCTATCTGGCTTTTGCATTTGCATTTGGCAGGGAGAGGAGCTGCTCTCCACAGTTAGTTAAAAGCTGTATTCATTCTTTAAAAGGGCAGAGTTGCTGATCTGATGCTGGGGCAGCCAAGGTTTTAAAACGCAAAAGGAATGCGAACAGATAAAGGCTTCTCTCTGAGATGTCCTTTTCACTTTGTGAATTCACCCACTACTGCCTCTAAAACAGAACGCGCTTATCCCTCCTCTCATGGAGGAATCCTTACCTTAAACAGAGAAATTCCGTGATTGAGTTAGCTTTGTAACATGGTGGACATGCAACATGCATATACATGTGCAGTATATTGCATGTTTCAGTGGGGACACACATAAAGCAGTCATTTCCTCACTCATACAAATTTCATTCGATTCATTGTGATTTGCTGTTATGATTGCATAATGGTCCTAGCGTCATTACCCAGTCGCATACTGGCTTTGTCATTTGTTTGCAAACATGCGCAGTTTCTCACAAGAAGATACCGTTTTACGTCGATTAACTACGTTCTATAGCAGGATGATAGGATAATGTGCCCTGTGAAGATTTTTCACGCTTTGGCTCGGCCATTTGGAGTTTAAATTTACAAGCTTTTAACTAAAAATCAACAGTGAAATGAACACTATGAGTACATTTCCCTCCATTATGCGGTAGCATGTTTGAATTGAGGAGTAAAACACTGCTGTGATTTAATCTTGAGAGGCACGCTCTGATATCCATCTCCAAATCAAGCATATTCAAACAGGGTGAAATTATAGCAGTAAATTACATCCCGCAGGTTTCTCTACGGATTTTTTTTCCCCTTTTTTTTTTAGTATTCATGAGTGCAGCTCTTGTGACAGTGATTTTTTATGAGTTTTAATGACTCGTCCTCAACGTCCTCAGCCCTAAATGAAGCATCTGCACTTTTCGGCGAAAGTGTCGTTTCCATCTCTTTAATCAACCTTGTGAGTCAGCAAGATGCCAATGAGGGAAGATCCAAAGTGTGTGTGTGTCTGCGTGTTTACGTGTCCGTGTTGCTGTGTGCTTGTTTTCGTGCGTCACTGTGAGCGTGTACAATTAAGGTGGGCTAAAGAACATTCACCAGGGGTATTTCCTCTGATCCTGTCTGTCTCAGTCCATCTGCTGCGCCACCTTGTACCGTTAGGAGGGGGTGTCACACATATTAAACTCACTCACACGGAGACGCTAAACTAATAAGAAGCTGTCTGTCATTATGAAAATAACTCATTTCGGCGCTCATTGTCTCAGCCAGCAGTAATAAATACTACTGAGCTGAAAATAATAGCAGCTGTGATGGCAAACTTATTCTTACGCACACACCTGTGGTATTATCATCGAGTGTTTGATGAATTGCTACAGTACACGATAGATGACACGTATTTAGAAACTGCCTTGTCTGAAGTTTGAACTGACCTGTTTGAAAGCCACACTTGTGAAATTATGAATATGAGCCCAACAACCCGATTTCCGTCTTCCTTCCGCAACCTTTTGTCTTGACAGATTGATGACTCAAAAAAAGTTATTCAGTCTAGAATAGAAAATGTCATTGAATTTTTCCCCAAGGAAGAAAGAGAGGTTCACTGGATGATATAGTTTTTCTTTTTTTCCCCAGTGCAAATCAGCTTTTTTCAATATCTTTGCTTAACTGGTGGACATTAGATGCAAATGTTTGCATAGACTGACTTGTAGATTACATAATTGGACCTTTTTTGCAGAGTGCCTCCTATCTTCCTTATCAGTCTACCTCTGTACTTTTACTTGCACAGCCATAAAACCAGCATTTTAAAACATCAGCTCAAGCAAAAAGTGAGCATAATAAAAAAAAAATTCAACCGCCACCGGGAACCCTTCCTTCCCTTACTCCTCAGCTTTTACCCACCTCCAGAGATCCTGCTGAGAGGCTGGTGTTGGCATTGGTGCTGCCCAGGTTGCGTGGCAGGGTCCTGGTTCTCTCCACTGTAGTTCCCCCCGTCAGAATCTGTCTGACTGATGGCCTCTGGCCCGGCTTCAGCTGGAGCGAATGCCCATGGGAATGCATGTGTCCTCCGTGGGAGTGCACAAGACCACCCTGAGCCATCAGGTGGCCGTGCCCATGGGGCATGGTTTTGATCGTCCCATAGGAGCGGTTGAGGTTCATGGTGATGTTCATGTCACCCACACTGGATGGCACAAAATCCGCCGGGTAGGCCTCGCTCTCAGCTGGGTGGAGGGTCAGGGGAGAGGGAGGCGGGGGGAAGGGAGGATCCTCCACTGCGATGTTGAGAGGCTTGTCCTCGCCCCCCAGTCCCAGGCCTCCTCCTTGGGAGGAGGGCGCTGGAGGTTTGAGACTGACCGTCCTACGAGGTAAGACCATGTAGTCTCCCTCCCCGCCTCCACCACTTCCTCCTCCTCCTCCTCCGCTTCCTCCGCTTCCGGCGCTTCCGTCCTGGGAGGTGTTGGAGGAAGCCGGCAGTCGAGCCCAGCCCAGGCCACTCTCGGTGCACAGGTAGATCGGAGCGCCGCTGCGTTGCTGCCCCTGCTGTCTCTGCTGGTCCACATTCACCTCCTTCTTTAGCGGAGTCTCGCTCAGCTCATTGAGGCCTCCTAGGGGTGGAACCTTGTGAGGAAAAAAAAACATGTGAGTTAAACAAGTATTTCCTGAATGTAAGAGAACTATTTTTGCATTTGTTTGCAAGTTTTAACAGGCATTTAGTTTTCTCTTTGACTAGATTTCACTTAAATTCAAGTCACTTCTAACAATGTATTATGAATAAGAAATTACTCGTGAAAATGTGTTGCAGTCTGTTTGATTGTCTGCATCAAACACAACTTCTATATATTATATTTAGGTCTGTTTAATTGATCTTTCTCAGATTTTAGACAGAAAAGTTGAGGTCTAATCTGTCTGCTGTAATCCTGTACCTGTACAATAAGGTTGGGAGGAGGGATGTTCCCGGGGAGGGAGCTGAAGTTGACACCCACTCCGCCCTCCTGATGGGCTGCCAGCTTAGGATCGTCCTCATCATCCAAGGAGATGCGTGAAAGGGTCCCAGTGATGGTGGCTGGGTTACAGGTGTTCACCTCTTTGAAAATGACTGGAGGGAGATGAGGGAGGCACAAAAAGGTTGGACAGAAGGGGAAGAGGGTGAAGGATAACCACGAGAGAATGAAAGATGAGTTAAAGTAGTAGGGAAATCGACAAGGTAAAGAGTTTATGAGTGGGGGGAATAGAAGGAGGAACCAAATATTTGGAGCAACAAAGAGGAATGGATATTGAATGGCCATGAAATTGTATATTTTAGGCCAAAAAGAGGACAGTTGACAAAGAGAGGTAGGCAAAACAGAGACAAACAACATGAATTAGTTACTGCTACTGAAATTCGCTGGCAGGTTTGATGCAGCTGGGAGACAGATTGCATCTCTAAAGAAAAGTTTCACTTATCCCTCTGGGCTTATATGGTTTACAGTAACCAAGATGAGTTTTGTTTCTGACACTGTGACCTTAAGTCTCGGTCCATCTCAGGATTTGCTGGTGAGCCAGGATTTTTATTAGCCTGGAAAAAGCGCCTTGGTGTAAAATGCTGTGTGCTTCAAATGAAATAGAGCCAAATTCCCTCGCTACTGATTCCAGTCTCATATCTTGCTCGCAGGCTTATTTTTCCCTGCCCTGTTTGTCGCATATCAGTGTAACTATGTGTGCGTTTAGGTTTTAATATGTGCGTGAAGGTGTTTCGTGTGTAAGAGTGTGTGGCGTGTATATATATTCCACAATACTGTCAATAACACAACACAAAACTACTTGCAGAGGCTTTTTGGTTTTAGTTTTCATGCATGTTGATCAGGATAAAGCTACAGATGCTATATATTTCTAGAACAGCTAGTCCAAAAAAATAAATAAAAAAAGCTATGACATGCTTAGGAGAGAGGATGTTTTGTCACAACTAGCATCAATCTATCAGCACAATCAAACACAAAATCAAATCATCTGGAAGTTCATGCCAGATATCATGCTCATTCTGTCACCATCAGAGGAAAAGAAATGTACTCTGATGCCCCAAAATCCAATTCTAGACCAAAGCGTGTAGCACAGACCATTTTCATGCAAACTCCATTGATGTAACAGAATGTCAGGCAACACGTTTGATCAAAAATTGAAGCTGGATCCTGCTGAGAGCGAGCATAACAGCAAGGACACTAGCTGGGGTACAGAACCGAGCGTTTTCTCTGTTTCACCGTCCTGTTGGTGCACATTGAAACGGCGGGATTGGACAGGTTTTTGGAAAGTCTGGCCAATCTGATCCCTTCACATCTGCATCAAACAGTGGAGGCCCAGAGAATAACCTATAGACGAATCCGGCGCTGTTGTGTTGCCTTCTAAATCGCCACCACCGTTACTGCAATGGCAGAGTGGAAATGAACACATTTACATTGAAAGCAGAGATGTTTGGATTAATCACGGTTGGCACTCGCCCCCTCTGACAGATCAAAGTAGTCTGCGTGAATGTGAAAGTTACTCAGTCTCAACACACTAATCTGAAATTAATTACTACATAGCCTTCGGGAAAAATAACATTAATGTACTGTTCCTTTCTGTCTTACACAGTGTGGATGTCAAAGGGCTGTATGGTATAATGGTAGCTTAAACCCAGCTGGAATTACTTGCTAGCGTATGATTTAAATGAATGAGCGCTGTGATTTCTAGCATTACCATAGAAGTAAGAAATTCATCATTTATTAAAAAGTAGGAACATGGGATACCGTAGAAGGGAAAGTTTGCCCAGAAAGCTTAGGGGTGCAATATGCAAGATTTTGAACATAAATATTGCATTAATATAGCAGCAAAGAACTACCTAAGTAAAGATATAGTGGGGTTTTGGCTTCTCTAGCAAGGAGTGAAGTCAGAGTCCCTCTGTATGTTGTAATCAAAGCTTCTCCAGCAGTTAGTATGTTAGTACATGCGTGTACATTTGAATCCCTCCTTCTGAAACTGTTGGATGAACAGAATCTGGTGACCTCCTACAGCACAGTGGCAAAGTGAACAAGCAAGCCAGGGTTTAGCCGCTTCCTTAAATTTTCCACGTATAGTCGTGACTCGATAATCCGACCCTTAATAATCCGAAAACCTTAGTATCTGACAGGTTTGTAGGAAAAGCGAACCCATAAAAAATAGCTTTAACATACAGACAACTTTGGATTCCGACTCTGACATGACATTTTATGTCACAAATACGGACAATGGTGTATTATCTGACCTAACAATCCAACAGATTGGCTACGTTCAGATGGCAGGACTTAATGCTCAATTTGGATTTCTTTGTGAAATCCAATTTTTTTGCGAGTTCGTTCACATTTCCAATTAAATGTGACTTGTATGTGATCTGCTGTGTGAACTTCATACGACCCAAAAGTGTCCCGCATGCGCAGAAGAGGACACGGCGACGTCACACGCAGCGAGTGTGCTCAGTGTTTACGGAAGCAAACATGGATGGTGGCCGCCACCGATGGTGGAAACAGAAGTGTGACTGCTGTCCTAAACTAGCATGAAAAAAAACCCAAAAAACTTTATTTATCCTAGAAGGGAAATTCAATGCATTAGCAGCCAAGTACTGCCTGTGCATTCCGGCCACTTCCTCCCCGTCGGAGCGCTCACCCACGGTGGAAGTCTTGCCTTGCTATCCGACATAAAAGAAGGTTTTACATTTAGTGTCGGCTTTATCGAGTCATGACTGTACTTAAAAACAAAGTATTCTATTGAGGTATTGCTGTTTTGGGGCTTTCCTCTGCTTCTGTTTCTGCACGTGGGTCTGCTCCGGTCCAACAGACCACGGAAACAGACACATACTGAGCGGAACAGACATAAGCAGAGAGACAGATTCAACTTATTGTCAGTGGCTAATGATTGTGGTTGGATTATTTTTTGTTAGGTCTCGTATGCACGACCAGTTGTCAACCTGCCCATTTGTTTTGGTCTACAGATGCTGGTACTCTAGCAACACCTAGTGGTTCTGAATGTTGCGCGCTGAATCTTTGGGAATGCATTAGCTGGAAAACAATATGTGAGGTGGTGGGCTCAACGTCAACTCTATGTAGGTAGATTGCTTGGTCCTTAGTGGCAAAGAGATTGTGTAAGTATAATTACCTCAAACTAAAATACTATAAATATCCTTAAATAACACCCCAGGGTTGAAATGTTCATTTTCCAAGTATTTCACGGAGTGCCCTATAAAGGGTTAATTGAGATTTATAAAGTGGTGCAGATGACTATGGCTTTCAATTCCTATTATTTCCACAGTTGCAGGTTACTGGTAAAGCAGCTGAAGGCTTTAGATAATAACGTGTATTTACATGGCATTATTACTGTATGATTAGAGCCTAAGAAGCAGTGGCGACGTTTTACATCTACCTAGAACTGGATTCGTCTATAGGAACAATTGAAGTCTAGGGGCGGATCAGGCAGTGTTAAGTAGGTCAGTTGGGTTCAAAACTTACATGGGTGTCCTCTCTCTGCAAGGTTGGAGGAGGAAAGTGACTCTTTGTTAATATTTCAAAGCACAGCACACACGGGACTGTGGTACATTTGTAACACATTCAAACAGACCATTGTCGGCTAACGAGTGAAACAGGTCTGAACACATAAAGGAGTGGTATTATCATGCACAATTAAACACAGTCTCATCCAAACATAGGCTCACTGAACACTTATTGGGCAGAATCGGTGTGATTGATAGCTCAGAACAATTTGTGCAAAAAAAAAAAATGTGTGGAGATGTATAGCTCGTCATCTCCGAGTCAGTTTATCAACATGCACGGCAGCAAGCTGAGAACGTAACAGCCTGCAATGTAAATCCTGTTTTGGACAAAGGAAGATAAAAGGAAAGAGAGACAAAAGGAGACAGGAAAAGAGAAATCAGGTGGAAAGGAGAGCTCACCTGTTTGACAAGCCAAGTCCACATCCTTCTCAAAATCCGTCTAAGAAAGAGGCAGGGTAAGAAGAGAGGAAACACAAAGATTATGTGCAGTGTTCACTACAATAGCAGCAAGAAGAGGCCAATTGAGTGATTAGATCGAAAATGGTTATGATGTATCCAATGACTCTGATGCTCTGATTCAACTCTATAGAAAAGAATAGGATCTGTTGCCATGGTGACACTTTACAACTCAGTCGATTAGTAATGCCCTCTATGAACAAGAATAAAAAAAAATGTTGCCTTAAGTCATCTGAGAAAGGTTCAGTTTTCAATTCTTTATGATGAATTTGTCCAAAGCCTTTTCAAACCAAAAAAAAAAAGAGCAGAGAAGATTGCTGACTTGTGCGCGCAGCCTCCACCGCTGCTACTTTGTTCATGATGTGTATCAGTTCACAGCAGCAGATCCAAATACAGACTCTGAGAGAGAAGGCTGCGGAGTGTTTGCGAGGTATGTAATGCTACTGTATGCCTCATCAGTCACCTCCCTATCATCTGAATGGAAACAGGGACAGAAATTTACACGGCGGCAAAAACTATTATCTGCTGTGCCAGCTGAAGCACAACTTTGCCATCTCCCAGCCGGACTGGAAAAAAAAATGTTTAATGTAAGAATATAAATGCTTTCTGCAATTCCTTCGCACCAAAAAAACACACACAAACACACAACGCTGAGTTTAACCTGTACTCACTATTCAGATTTTATGTAGATATGGTACATTGGGCACGACCAGAAATGATGTTTATTTGCTTTGATCTTGAATTTCATTTGAGGAATGCAGGGTGGCATTGCTCCTCGGGGAAAAGAAATACTTCCAAACTCAGAAGGCAGCAGGTTGAATTTTTTTTTTCTTTCCCAAAATGGCCACCACTCAAGTTTTTCTAAACTTTAGTGAAAGTGAAGCTCATTGCTATGCAGATGTGGTCCTCTTGTTCTCTCACCACAGAGCCTCCTCCTGTCCTCGGCGGGATTCACTTACAAAAGCCTTTGTTTGGATAATAAACTACAGATTTTAGACAGTTTGGGCACGCCACAGAGGCAAACAGAAGAGGAAAGGGAGAAATGAAAAATTGAAAGAGAGAAGGAGAGAACGTGCAAAGGTCTCAGAGGAGCAGAGAAGCTCTTAGTACGCAAATCACCCACAGCACCATAAATGGGACTTCGCTAAATGGACGAGGGAGGATATGAAAGAAACCTCTCTCTCTCTCTCTCTCTCTCTCACTTAGTCGCTCTCTTTCGTCCAAATTGAGAAAAACAAATCATCTTTATTTTAACCGTTACACACACTTTCTCTCTCTCTGCAGCAGCCTCATAGGTTAAGCACAATGAGTCATCAACATCAACTGTATGTAAATACCACATGGGAACAGACTGCGGCAGCACACATACTGCAGCGTACACATCACGGGTCACGATTACTACTGAAATGAATGAACAAAAAAAAGCTAGTTTCTGTAGTAGCTACTCCAGTTTCTTGCACATCACAGCTACTCCTACTTCGATTTAAAGGTGCAAAGTGCAATCAATAAAAAATGAACACTTGCTCGTCAGAATAGTTGATTCCATCGTTATTTGCTTTCCAGTTAGACAAGACGACCGATACCGCTCTCACACCTGCACGCTACATATGAAGCTACAAATCAATTGATATTCCCCAGTAGTTCTCGTGCTGGGATCATGTAGTTTTATTGTTGAAAATCGTACAAATGGGAAAGATAGGCAGGAACACATCAGTCTGCTCCAAACCTATGATCATTTCAGCATAAAACAAGTAGGTTAAAATGATTTAATGTGCTGTAGTTATTAGCTTTTTACGCTTATTTATAATTCATTACTCTAATAAGGCACGCCGGTACAGTGCACACTGTACAATTAGCTAATCCAGAGCTAATGTGCAGATCTTTCTTTTCCCAATTGATTGGCTGCAGAGATTTCAGTGAACCAAAACTTTCCTCGGTTTGACTACAACCCAAGGTGTAAAAATGACATATTGTAGTTTGATGCAGGGTTTAGACTGTTTCAAGGCTGGGGGCAATCTTCCTGGACTAATTCTTTAGGATGCCAAAAAACTCATTCCCTGCTTATTCTGTTACTTTTAGACAGAGCCAGGATAGCTGTTTCTCCTCTTTGAGCTAAGCTAAGATGTTTGCAGATGTGAGAGCGGCACAATTCTTCTCATCCATAACATCTTATTTTCCTAATTCATATTTGCTGCGAATTACTTTACACATTGCACCTTTTTCCACCTGACTGTCATGACTAAAGACGTCATCTTTCCTACAGGTGACATACTGGTTGGCTGCTGATGTGATTATGGGCGTGGTTGTGGTTGTGGGTATTGTTGAGGAGGGGGCTGTGCTCATGCGCGTGGCCGTGAGCGTGGCTGTGGTCTAGCCCGTAGTTGTTGCGGGGTAGACTGTGGTGACAGACTGGCTGGCATGCCTGGTGGGGCGTCGGCGGGTGGCAACCCGACAGGCACAGGGTGGTGCCGTAGCGCAGGGAGCCGCGCTGCTGTCCACAGGCGCTCACATTTGCGCACTTCTGATGGCATAAAAGAAAATTCATTGACAGCATAAAGTCGCAATGCCGGAGCAGAACATCTAACCAGGTTTGTTCTAATCGGAGTTTAACGAATCAAATGATTTCCTGAAGGCGGGTTTGATTCAGTATAGAAGGCGTAGCTACAGTTCTACATCTTTATGATGTCTCCAAAATGTCAAGGGTTTCACATGCTAATGAGATTTCCTGTGAATATAGCGAGAGAACCTGAGAGAATGGTGTTTGCTGTAATTACGATGCTGATATAACTGGTGGCAGCCTCACCAAATTATCCATCACAATTAATATTCTCAAGAGTCTCTCATACAACAGCTCGCTGCGTATATGTGCAGTCTGAAAAGGCGTCTTCAAAGTCGCACACATTTAGATGAGAAAACTGGAGCAAACAAGGAGCTTTTTCAACTGTCTTCCATAAGTACAATAGTTGGCATAGCAACCGGCTGACAGCGCGAGTTGGCGTGTGATGATAAAAAATTTAACCAAAAATTAAATAAGCAGAGTTAGACTGTAAATGAAAACAGAGAATGACGATGTGTCATGACGGCTTCATCGAGCAGAATGATGGCTCCAAAGTTTAATCTTGATAACCTCGGAGGAGCGTTCAGAAGCCCATAATCGTTACCGCAAACAGGTCTGAGGGAGAAATAAAAGGGAATAGAGATGAGGGCTGCTCATGCTTTCGTAGTTGTGGTGTGACCGTACTGACATTGGCAAAGGCAGTTCAAGTCTCTATGATTTATCGCACTATTAGCCACATTTGGAACGCACACAATAACCTTACGGGAACTCTGTCCTCTTTAAATAAAGATGAAGAAGTTTAGGTTAAAAGTAAATAAAAGTGCTGATGTGTTTGCTGCGATAATACATGATTAGAGTCTTCTGGGCAAGAAACTGTATCGTGTACTGAGTATTATATAGACAATAAAGATGTCAAAAAAAAAAGCAGTGATATTCATATTATGTAATGATATAATAGCGGGGTATTGTTTTGCATAGTTGTTGACAGCTCGCTCAGTTATGGAGTTAGTTGCAGGCTCAGAACTGGAGAGTGTCGAGTGAAATCGCATTTCTATGTGATGAAATCACACATTTCAGGGAAAAAAAATGAAAATGCATAATGCATAAACAATAATGAATTCCTGTTAAGGTAAAAGTGGTTAAGGGAAAAAAAAAAGAAAGAAGAGAAAGCCAGGTATGAGTTTAAGCACTTCAGTAATGGCAATCATGCTTTTCTACTGAGGCTGAAGCTTGCAGAAAGCTCCTGCCTGGTTAATGTTACTCTGAGGCAAATGGGCTGCAATGTGGGATGAAATGGAATGCTATTCACCATGATCTGCACCTGTCCATTCTTGCAGGAGTCTGGTGAGTTTTCGCTGTCGTCTTTACATCCCCCCATTCGACAGCGCACCGCATCCTGCACCTGGGGGGGGAGGTTGGAAGGAGGGGAGGAAGGAAGGGAGGGAGCGGGGGTAAGGGATGCCAGAGAGGGAGGGTAAAAAATAGAGAGGAAAAAAAGGGGGAAAGGGGGGAAAAGAATGATGAGGGGGAGGTAGAGATGATGCAAAGGAAAGAAGTTAGTGGAGGAACTTTCACTCGAGTTAGTTTGGCAAATGTCGGAGCGTGGGGGAACTCGCTCCTTAGACATTGTAAATTCTTCATCTTTATCACCGCCATGGCAGTGAATTCTAAACTATGTGAAAACGGTAAAGTAAAAGGGAAATTTTTTTTTTACAAGGAAGCTCAGCTTGTAGATTATATAACAGTCACTGGAGTGGTATAGAAAGCACACGGCGATGCTTCAAAGTGACCTATTCCAGCCTTGTGAGATCAGTGGCTCGCAGTTTTAATTAAAACCAACAGTACAGCATATAGATGTTTTAAACCCTGGGCTTTGGCTGTGTCACATTGTTTTTCTTTATCCTCCCACATAGGTAAACACACAGCAGTCCACCGTCAAACGGCTGCTTCTTGCAACACAGATCAAATCCAATGCATTATCTTTCAACTCGGAGATTCTCTCCCTCCTCCACCGGGCTCTGTATTATAGATATCCTGCTTACTTGCTGAGGGGCAACATCATTTCTCAATGTTGCTGCTGTCAAATCCCATAAGAGTGTCACGGGTGAAAACAAGAGTGCTTGTGTAAGTAGTGGTACAAGAGCTTCACTCTCATCAGGTGGTCCCCCCCGTTCTTCCATTTGTGTTTGTGCACTGATACAAATGGAGTCTACTGCATGCATGTGTGATTAATACTGCATGGACTTGTACAGTGTGCTCCATTGTTTCCTTTTGTCTCGTGCTTTCCTCTATATCCATACTCATCCTCAGTGGCATTTGTTCTTTGTTAGCAAGAGTGTGTGTGTGTGTGTTGGCACCCAGCGTAGCTCCTTCTTACTTCAAAGTGAAAGCCCCCTCTGTGGATACCTGCCTCTCTCTCCACCTTCCTCTCCATTTCCTCCTCCCCCTACCATCATCCCCTGCTTTGCTCTTGAATCACGTTTTTTTTTCCCTCACAGATCTCCGAGTGCGTTTTTTTTTTTTCTTCCCTCCCATCCTCCTCCCTCCTCACTTAAATCCCTCCATCACATCCTCCATCTCCCCTTTGGTTTCCTCTCTCGCTGCCTCCTAAACACAGCACATCGCACACTTTCATTGTTTCGTCTCTTTTCAGTTGATCTCAGCAGGTCACCCGTGCCACCACGGTCCTTTCATTTTCTCCACCGACACCCTAAATGCTACCGCGGAGCGCTTACATGGCTCTACGCTCGCCGGCGTGCTTTGTGTCTGTAGTTTACTTTACGTCTCTCTTGTTTTGCACTGTAATACTTCCTGATTCCTCCCATCCTCCTCCTCCTCCTCTTCCTCCCTCCTCCGGTGCCGTACTTCCCCTCTGCCTGTTGTTCTGTTGCAGCTACGACGGATTTACGCTCAGACTCTTGCAGGGGATTTTCATACATTTACAATAAATAATTCCTGGATTTACTGTACTCTGATCCCTGCCGCTTTTGTGATATTGATTTAATGCAGCTAAGCATTCAGAGCATTTAAAAATTCACTTACACTATGCAGCGCATTCAATATCATAATGATCTGTTGGAGGGAAGCAAAGCTGCGTTTGGTGTGCGTGCACCAGCGAAACTAGACACATTTACTATTATGGGAAACTGATCGCATTTTAAATCTGTTAATTGTAGCTCGTGCAAATTCAAGATAGTCCAAAATGTGTGTGTGTGTGTGTGTGTGTCATTGTCTCAAGGGTATGAATACATGTATGTGCATAATGAGTTTAAAATTCAGGATCCCTGGGGCCACAGCAAAGCCTGTAGCAAATAGGCACTAGGGGCTATTAGTTGGGGACTTATCGTCTTATTCCATACAGCATCTTGGTAAGCTCCTTAAAGCAGACTTGGATCAGACGGACAATACTGCATTATGAAGAAGAAGCGCCGCAACATAGGACATAAGCACCATGCTAATCCGTCTCATGTCTGATCCGCTTGTGTTCTGACGTGGCTTCGAACTGACCCGGACGCTGACGTGATCTTTAAGAAAATGAATCCCACCTAGTCAGGGAAAGGAAGTGTCGCTGAAGTCACAGTGTTGCTGAGCGGTATGCACAGTGAATTCAGCGCGAGTGGTAGGATCCACACACTGCTCAACAGGAGGAGTAAACCCGACTCACCTCTCGGCGCATGGCGCAGTGGACAGTGATGATGACGAAACCTTGGACAGAATCAAAGACGGCAAAGAGGACCTGGAGGAGAGAGATAATGCGCGCTCATTAGTTATTGCACAGTGGTTTATTATTGCAGCGGTTCCTAAACTTTTCAAACCGTGGCATCCCCTCTGAATCATATTCATTTCCAAGGCCCTCCTACATATCCACCAGACAATTCAAGGGAAAGTCTCAAAAAGTCATCTAGTGATTAAGTTGCTTTATTTCACTGTGAAGAATTGTCGAGTTTTGCACCGGAACCAAACAAAGAATACAATAAGTATTGGATAAATGTATTTCTTTTATTTTCTTTTGAAAGTAAATAAACCCGTATTTTAGATTCTCAAGGACGTATGCCATCATGGATTGATTGTGTCTCTTCGACCTCTTTTTCGTCACCCAGAGTATTCAGTATTAGCTAAAGAGCATAAAAGCTGTAGTCATCGTTTCCCCTGGCTAAAAAGCACTTGAGAGTATCACAGCTAGCCTCTCCTTTGAGAAGAAACCTGTTTGCTGATAACTGTGACGTCACTATTTCTGACTTTAATACACCTGTAAAGCTCACGAATCAGAAAGCAGCTTTTATTTTACCTTCACAATCAGCAAGCGTTAGCTGTCATCACTGTTCTTAGCTGAGATAGAATGAAAATTTGGTGTTTCACGTTTGTCTTTCCGTAACACTAGAATGAGGGGAACAAATCTTGTGGCATGCTTGATCTCTCTTTAAGGCACCGCAGGGTGCTACGGCACCCTCTTTGGAAACCACTGTGTTATTATACTCTGTATTACTGTAATATTGTAGTGAAATGACTAAGTAATCACTAGAGAGACACTGATATGAGAATGAAATGAGTCAGCGGAGTCGTGATTATTCATAATACATCACCATCATTAATGCTTTCATTCACAATTTCTACTTGTGATCTTGATACAGTGGGTTTTCCTGAATGTTCTTTGTTGAATGCTGTTCTAATATTTGCCTTTTTTTATCCATCAGTCCATTCTTTATTTATACATGGATCATTAAGGTTTAATCTTTTGATTTTTTTATCTCAAAAATGTGGTAAAATATTAAGAAACACAGCTTTAAGGAAGACCTATTTCACTTCAGTTACAGATCTATTAAAAAACATTTAAAGACCCTCTTCGGTCATTGAATAAACTATTAAAAATGATCTCCAAATATCAAGAGGACGGAGCTAGCTGTTTTTACATTAAATAATTTGTTCATGCCGTAAAATGATTTAGATGTAACTCTACACCATTGCTTTCTCTAGAAGGCGTAGATCTCTAAAGCCTCTCTCTCCACTCACCCCTCTGCTCCTTCCTGCAACTCGAGCACACCAGCTCCCGTTTGACTCAAACACTGTAAAACTACTCTCAATGACATAATAGCAAGTTGTAATTTTGGAATAAGTCAGTCATACATGTTCAAACTGGAAACAGATTCTGATGAAGAATAATGATAGAGGAAGTTTCCACCCTGTAGTTGAAAAAATTTGGATTTGTTAGGTTTGAAACCGCAAATGTCTAAGTCTGTGTTTTTTAGATTCATCAGTACACTGCAGTTTCAAGGTAGAAATGCCCAGCTGTGGTTTTAACTACTACTCACCATATAGACTTGTTAAATAGGTTAAAAAAAAAAACAACCTGATGTACACCAGACAAAATAGCTGACTTAACGGAAAAGGCAGCACTCACTGAGGATACATAATATACATCAAAACACCTGCACAAATCATTTTCTGCCGTACGTCACCCACATTTTGACGATGCCACAACAAACATCAACAAGTGTACATTAACTGATTTATGCTTAACTTTCTGCCCTTACAACAACTAAAAGCAGATTCCGCAACGTGCCACAGGGCTACATGTGTGTGAGTCGCACTTTGTTAGCCTGTGCAAGTGTTGTGAGGCTCATCACCTGGAAGAGTGTGGAGCGCCGGTCAGTTATGGCCAGCACTGCTGACATCCAGGTTAATGCTAACAGAGGAAGAACCACACAGGAGCTCCACAGAGACGCCCTGTCAGAGAAAAAAGAAGGAGACAGAGGTGTAGGGTAGAGGAGGAAGGGAAAGAAGGAAGAATGAACAAGGGATTCAGTCTCAGGCCAGACAAGCCGGCTCCGGTAAAGTCACGTAACTCCACTCCTCACATGCACACTCGCACACACTGGCACAGATCAGTCAGAGGTTCACTGGTGGGCAATTTGAAGCTGATTGGCACGCTGAGGCTCGGATCAGACTTAATATTCGAACTGATAAGTGGAAGATGATGTGTAATCATGTAGATAGTTTTGAGACTGACAATTGCTCACAATTACATGGTTGATGCACTCAAAGTGTCATGCTGGTGGACTGTGAGACAATAGGCAGAGACCCGACAGAGAGGCGGAAGACAAGCCATTGACAAGTGCTGACACGGGGGCTTCTGAGGAGTAAGTGTGTGTGCGTATATGTGTGTGTGTGCTCTCTGTCTGTAACTCCACCGAGTCACACAGCAATTTAAAATGTTCATGCTGTTTGAGCACATATTCGCGTTTTCAGAAGCGTCAGTCTGACAGACGGACAGCTCCGTCTAACTACGCTGAGAAATAAGCATGTCCCTGCAGAGGTGCATGGCCAAAGGCAATGGGTAAAGAGAATTAAAGTCAAGGCTGCGCTGTCCTCTCGTTAATGTGTAAAGTTTCTCGCTGTTGTTGGCTCCAGTTTTAACCACATAATATGGTCCAGTAGAGTAACAGTAACAACCTGAGTGAGAGAAGAAAAAAAAACACTGCAAATGTACCTCATCATATATAATAAGTGGTTTTTAATGAGTGGGTATATTTCAAAGTGCTGCAAAGCCATTTGGGAAAAGAGAAATGTGAGGAAAGCTTGGAATTGCTTTGTCGCAATTTTCAAATGGTGGTTACCTCATTTTAGAAATAAATTCCCAAGTAGTCTGTAAAATTTTCACTTAGGTGAAAATGGACTGGACGTCCAATATAGTAATTCTACAGAGAATGAAGAAGTGGGTAATACTTCTACCATTTAGGCCCCAAAAAATACGATTTCTGTAAATAACAGCTATTACACAGCAGAGACTGTTTGATTACAGCTTTACAGTAAGGATTTCTGTAAGCAGATTATTTGAAGGACCTTCCAACCAAACAGTATACTGCAAGCTGCAAGAAGAAGGGCAGGAACATGAATATAAATGACCATATGCAATGATAAGACTCCATTTTTCTTCAGCAAAGATATAAGCAGAGCAAATAATGGCCCCATGTGCTCCCACTGCCAACAACAACAACAACAAAAAAACTGATACACACTTGTTACTGCAAATAAGCAATCCCATCCCATTACCCTCCAATCATGGCAGCCAATCATGCAACAACTAAGACCAGAGCTGCTGCTTTAAATTGAGTGCTTTTCCAAAAATAAACACAAAGCCGTAATGAAAGATTTGCACAAGGACATAGTTAAACATGCACAGGGTAGTTTGCAGCAGCAAAAATGAGAGGAGGGTCTTTAATTCAGAGACTGTCTGCACTGATCATGAAATGACCTCTTGCTGAAAGAGCAGCAATCCAGTGTTCAAAAAAGAAACTGGTATGAATCTTGAGCTTGGTGCACCATAATAGGAGACTGTGGTATGGAGATCATGGGAAATGAGAAATGCATTTAACTGTATTTACCGCTGTCTCTTTAATTTATTTTCAACATTGTTTTCAGGGGTAACTAATGTGAATTTACTTTATTTACTTTACTGAATGGTGTCTTTTAGCAGCATTGGGGGCTTGTGGCAACTGCACCGCTTGTATAATTTTACATCTGCAAATAGAAAAATATGAAAATGTTCCAGAAATTTTGCATGGAGCCTCCACAAAGTTATGAGATTTGTGAGAAGCTGAACAAAAAAACACAACCGACACAAACTGATTCAAAATTGAGGCCAACATAGCCTCAGTTTTAAGTCTTATCCAGTTCCAAACTGAAGGTCCCTGTACCAGGTCCAGACAGTATCTGTTGTAAAAAAAAATGCAACTGGTGCCATTTTACAAAAGTTGCCAAGCGTGGCACATCCACTGAAGGGGGCTGCTTAGCGCTAGTCTGACCAAAATCCGTGTAGCATTGTTGTGTTTCCACTTCTGTTGCATCGAATTTGGTCGAATTGCAGTTAAAAGCAGGTTCAGTAACATTGATGTCCACTGGCTCACCGCTTTGAGGATGTTTCTTGCTTGATAACGGACAAGCCGGACTAGGTGGAAGCAATTTTACTTCCTCTTTTTCCTATTACCATAAAGTTTTACTGTCTTTCAAAACTCTCCCAAGTATTTCTTTGTCACAGAGCCCGTGGTTGCTCATTTTGGTCTTGTAGTTTTGCAGCTGTCTTTTCATGAATTGTATTTTTTCAGGTGGAAATTAGAAAAAAAAAAAGCCTACAGTGCTTAAGGGGTTAATATAGTTGCATTTCCCAAAATATTACACTGTAGAATTTTTTGTTCAACTTTTCAAACTCCATAACCCAAATAGGTAATACTGTTTTCCTGTTATCTTAAGACACAGTGTCACTTTAGTCGTTTTCTCCAACTTGACAAAGCCCTCCAGAACTACACTAAACAGCACTCTCAAGGACTAGGAAACTGACTTTACCAAACATGGCACCTAAAAAAATACTCAAAACTTTGTCTGCTTTGTTGTTTTTCTTCCCTCCTTTCATTATTTACATCCATTTGATATTTGATGCGCTCATGCGGCCGCCCGGTTGAGGAGGGTCAGCAGAGTGCCAGAGCCACGTTTAAACAGTAATGTGGTTAACGGCAGTGCAGTTTGCATAACTGACAACCTTCCTGACATCCTGTTAAGCCTCTGCAATACTGCACGATAAACAAGTTAAAAGAACCTCTAAAAATGGTTCACAAAACACTGTTTGACACAGGTCAGATTTGCTCGGTGCGACCTGAGGAAAAAAAAAAAAAACCGCCTTGGAACAAAAAAAACCCCCAATAAAAAACAACCGCCTGCCGGGCAAGGGCCTTTTTTTTTTTCTCCCCCCTTTCATTAGTTTGTATTTTCTATCCAGACGAGTCTGAATGTCATCCTGCATCATTACCGACAGCCAGAGATTAAAAGGATGGAGGAGAGAGAGAGAGAGAGGAAGATGGCGAGAGGATGATGGAGAGTAAGAGACAGAGAGAGAAAGAGAGAGAGAGAGAGATAGAAAGATGAAGATGGACTAACATGGCGCTGCTGGCAGTCGAGCTGGACAGAGCGGTGCTCGAGATCACGCCACACTTGGAGCATTTCAGGAGCAGTCGGCTACGCGCCTCCGCTGGGACACTTTAGGGCATGTGCACACACACACACACACACAAACACACACACATACATATACACACAACCATGTGAGGAGGAGGAGAAGGGGAGGAGGAGGGGAGGGGAAATGGGGTGTGTGGAAACAGGTATGGCAACAGGTGAATGTGTGGGTGTCACAGTTGCAAAACAATAACCAAAAGAAAAGAATATAAAAAAGAGAAAAAAGTGGACACAACAGAGAGAGAGAGAGGGAGTGGAAAAGAAAAAAAGGGGGGAAGGGGAGGGAGAAAAGAAAGAAAGGCAAATTAAAACCAGATCTTAAAAAGTAGCAGTAATGAAAAAAACAGTCAGAATACAAAGATTGATTCAAGTAAGAGAGAACGTGAGAGACGGACATTGTAATGTTACAGCAGTCATGTGGATTAACAGATTACAGCGACACAGACGGGAAACACACCAGCCGTTTGATTTTCCGCTGCCAGTGCATGCAGGTTGGTGTGTTCGGTGTCTGGACGTGTCACTGTGCACACTGAAGCTTTATGAGAGAGAAGAGAAAGACTCCTTTGGTTGTTTACTTACAGTTGACTACTCGGATGGAGAGAATGTGTGTGTGTCTGTATATACAAGCGGAGAATGATGGGGCCATGCACGGGCTATGCTACATTAGCGTCCCATCACAGCTCATTGCCTTGGTGCCAGCCACATCCCCATGGCTTCATAAGGAAATACATTACGCTAATGACAGCCTGTCCTGTTAGCAACACTACCGACTGCTGTGTGCGGGAGCGCTTAGGTACGCGCGCTTCCGTCCGCGCGCGCACTTCTGAGAATCCGAGAGGAAATGTGCTTAAGACTCGGATAAGGCCAAGGACTTTTGCTGCAACAAAGACGGCTACACCTGCTTGTGTGCGGCTCTAAGTGTGTTTGTACACAACAACTGGCTTAATCTCGGTCGCATCACCGGGTAACAAAAGCTAATCAACCCCCCGGAGAGCCGGTCTTTACTGTTAACCCTTGCAGCTAAACACAAATTATCAATTTCAATTTGTGGTGGAAACAGATGCAGGGGGAAATGCGATGAGACAGAGGAAGAGAGAGAGAGAGAGAGAGAGAGAGGGAGAGCGAAAACGATGGAATCAATAGGTGTGAAAATTAAAGAATGGATTTAGCTGTGAGAGCTCCGTTCAGGATTAGGAAACATGATGAACACCCGCTAACTGCTTTAATAGATATAATGGTGTAGACGAATGCATGTGCATGCATGTCTGACATTTCATGTGCATGTTTGTCTGGAGGAAAATACTATAGGATTTCAATAGTGCAATAGGTTTCATCCACATAATCCCAGTGTTTACTGTATATAATTAGAGTTCCATCTGCCATTGATTTTCATTTCCACCGTATTCATCTATGTCACATAAAACTGAGGAAACTAGATGGTAACCGTATGTGGAAGCGATACCCGAACGCTGATACATTTCACGGAGCAACAGAACGTAACAGATGTCTTGTCATTTTGTTGCCAAATTGGATCGTACTTTTTGATTATTTTTAGTGGAGGCACAGGTGCACAAGTGTGTGCAGAGACCCTTGAAAGCAGTTTGAGTTAGTTGCCATGAAAATGTTGTTTGCCTGACAGAAGGTAAAATTTACCTAATACGGCAAATTTGTAGTCAGTTTCCACCAAGAATTGTGTGGATGGAAGAGTAAGTGGCTGAGTGTGTGTT